GTTCTTCCACTACACTATCCTCTATTGTCCCCTCTGAATTGTAGTAAAACAATTGAGGTGAAACATGATCACATCATACGACCCACAACAAATCAATAGACAGCAGGTGGAAGAAATGCCAAAAACATGGCCTAAAACTGCAAAGTCACCAACTTCTCCAAAAGGCTAATACAGTTTAAGAAGAAGAAGAAGAAGGGGAGGGGGGGGGGGGAGGGAGGAAAAATAACATTTGCTCTTGGTCTTTCAAAATAAAGGTAAAAGATATGATTACAGGGTTTCCATGATTTACATGTCAACATCAATAGAGAAAAAATTATTCATTTATGTAGAACCTCAAAGAAGAAAGTGTTAAGTAAATAGAAAACGGAATTCATTCTTATATTTTTGTACATAACAGAAAATTGATGAAAACAATCAAGTGAAAAATAATTTCTTTCAGCTGTTGACCCACTTAAATCGACAATCACACCACTGACTTGCCATAACACAATGAATCCTCCATGGTTAGGACATCATCCTGAACATCATGTCTACATAAAAAATGATCAATTTGCAACTTTCAAGTTAATGTCCTTTTTTTTTTGAAAAACATTTTCCTTCCTTGTCTCATCTCCACCGAACAAACTAAATCAAGTTCATAAAGAATTGGGAAAAGCATAGAAGCATCAAACACCTTTTCGTTTCAAATTTTTAGCGACCTAAAGATAAAACATTCAATGCCATATATTCCAACTCCAATGAAAATTAGAATAACAAATATTTATCATCAAACAAAATGTTAAAAAATGATATATTTCTTGATTAGCTCTACTCCGCTATTTTAGAACACAGAGAGAAAAATAGACAATCTATTGTAAGTTCCTCTGTATGTTTCAGCACAATACAATTGCTACCAAGTAAAACCAACTATATTCCTGAAACAAAATCACTTTGATCTCATTCTAAATATCATTCTTGAAAGCACACTACATTATTAAATTATATAACAAAAGAAAACGATAAACAACATTCAACTCCACCTAGAGCATAAACACTTTGACATTCAGATAGATAAACACTACCTGAAACATTGTCTAACACTATAAACATATTCTATAATGAAAGCATAGCCAGGGTAGTCACTATGTTTGACCACTCAATAGAATTGGTGGTCTTCAACAACATACATGTTATATCTCCTTGTCTTTTCCAAGTTAATACAAATATGCTACCTGCATTGCAACCACCAAACTCAACTTCTATATACAAGTGCCATGAAGGGTAACACAGTGAAAACCAAATCACCATCCTTCCATCCAGCCCCAATTGGGGAAGATGGCCAACATAACCTACAAATCATAATCGTTATCATTTCAACACTGAAATTCCATCCAAGTATAGTCATAAAAAAATCAAGGCATGCGAGGACATCCAAAGATACTTATTAGCTTCATCCAACAAAATATCATAAAAGAGATGACTCGTGCAAATTAAAATCTAACTAAAATGATATGTGAGTGCCGAAATTCTAACATAACCGAGGGCCAAGGGTGGCAAAAAGGAAAAAATATCAATAAACAATTGAGGNACATTCCATATTAAATTCTTCTGCATACCTGGCTGACAACATTCCATATTCAAAGACAGATTTCTTAGCTATTTAAAGTTTCAGTAGGGACCTAGATGCACATGAATTTAAAATATTGTATACAATTTAACACAACAGAGTGCAACAAAATTCTTGTTGTCAGTTTATTCTGACAGCTCCTATTTTTTTTTCGAATCCTAGTTCAGTACAAAGTTCTTCCACTACACTATCCTCTATTGTCCCCTCTGAATTGTAGTAAAACAATTGAGGTGAAACATGATCACATCATACGACCCACAACAAATCAATAGACAGCAGGTGGAAGAAATGCCAAANATGAAAGCATAGCCAGGGTAGTCACTATGTTTGACCACTCAATAGAATTGGTGGTCTTCAACAACATACATGTTATATCTCCTTGTCTTTTCCAAGTTAATACAAATATGCTACCTGCATTGCAACCACCAAACTCAACTTCTATATACAAGTGCCATGAAGGGTAACACAGTGAAAACCAAATCACCATCCTTCCATCCAGCCCCAATTGGGGAAGATGGCCAACATAACCTACAAATCATAATCGTTATCATTTCAACACTGAAATTCCATCCAAGTATAGTCATAAAAAAATCAAGGCATGCGAGGACATCCAAAGATACTTATTAGCTTCATCCAACAAAATATCATAAAAGAGATGACTCGTGCAAATTAAAATCTAACTAAAATGATATGTGAGTGCCGAAATTCTAACATAACCGAGGGCCAAGGGTGGCAAAAAGGAAAAAATATCAATAAACAATTGAGGATTTCTTGAATATGCCCAATGTTTCAGTATGGTTTCACAATTGTCATATAGCGGCCCGATATTAGATATTAATAGGACAAATGTGAAAATAAAAAAGCAATCCCTTGACCCTTCTAGTTTTACTCTCTTCCCTTCAATAATTTTGTCTAGATGTTGAAAATTTCACCAACCACATCCATTAGAAATGCTTTGAATTAACAGTGTAAACAAACAAGTTGTCAACTTAAGTCACTTTGCACTTTCCAAGCTCTGGCCAACAGTGTGACAACCAGAGCCTTCAACATGAGACAAGAACTACACAACTCACCTTTGGTAGGATAATATCCTCTTGATGTCCACAAAATAGGCCAAACTGTAGCAGCCCAAAAAATCAATGAAATCCATGTAGGAATCATGTTTCATGTGATCATGCAACCAACCACTGATGTTATAGGCTGATCTATGTCAACTTTTTTTTTCTTTGGTAATCATAGCCAAACAATTTTCAATCTATTTTATGTTAACCCCCAAATACATATGTCATAAGAAATGTAGCATTAGAATGAACGAAGGATACCACATCCACACATTTACACCCAGGAATATGGTACGAGCACGTGCTTCAGATTTTGCTTTTCTTTCTCTCAATAAAATTAAAACAAATAAAAAAATTGCTGCAAAAATAGTTGTCAACAATTTTTTTTTTATCATGGTAATAAAAAAAGTACATGACATAGCACTTTGAAAATCTCTTCCTTATAAAAAAAATACAAACAGTATGTAGGTGTAAGTAGAACAATATAAGACAAAAAAAAAAAAGTAACAAAAGCAAACAAAAACTCAGAAATGGCAATACCAATGATTATGAAGTCCTGCTACTTTACTCTTGTAGTCATTGCACATGCCACTTCGCAAGCATATGAATAGAATTCTCAGTTCTTTGAAGCTGCATAGGTCCATTTAGTTACAAGAACCAATAATTGATATTGAAGTATTTGTATACAGCGTTGTTTCAACAACAATGATGCAGAAGCTATCAATTAACAAAAAAATAACAATAGACTAATTATTTGAATGAATGTAAGTCAAAATAGGCGCAAGCAGAATACTGTCAAATTTATAATCTAACTTAAAGCATAGTGAATAGCATAAAAATGGTATGTTCACAGGCCGAAAACAGTAATGTCTCGACACAAAGACATGCAAACACACCTTTTAGGCACGCAATAGCACATCTAAAGCTTTCTCTTGCACCGGTGCATTCGAATTCACAACAGTGTTTTCAAAAAGTGCCCTAATTGAAACCCAAAATTTGGGAAATTGATACTTGAGATCTATCTATATAATGTACGATCATGAATGTCATAAAAATACACGAATCGGTTAAATGGGGACAAAAAACAACTAAATCAAACCTGAAAATTCTAAGAGAGGCTGAAGCAAGTTTTGGGGAGTTGAGACTTGAGAGAGGGAGAGATATGTGGGAGTTGATTAATCCACACAGAAGATAGACAAGCATAGGAGAGAGAAGAGAGACGTGCGTTGGGTTCACAATTTGATAGTGTCGGATGGATTAGCTTTCTAAAGTTTATTGCTTACTGTGATAATCAACATAATGACCACTTAATGAGGTATTAGAAAAAAAAGATGAAAAGCCAAGGAGTTAATTGAATTCAACTAGGCACATTTATATATAGTATATATTTAGAACAAGATAACCAAAAGTTAGAAGATGGATTTATTATGACATTAAATCTAGGGATAAGCATAATATAGTCGTAATATTGAAAGGTAAAAGTAGAAAAAAATACTTCTTTCGTTCTTAAATATATGTTGTTTAAGATTTTTACACAGGAATTAAGAAAACTATTAAATAGATTTAACATGAGTAAAAAATAATTGCACAAGATTAAAATACTCCTATTTAATACGTATTGAGAATGAAAAGAATATGAAAGACACTTAGCCTCCACTTAATCTAATGTATTAAAAAGTCAAGGGTAAATTTGGAAGAAAAAATATTAGTTATACTTTGGTTTCATTAAACGAAAGATATTATGGAATAAAAAAAATTGTGTAAAATGACAGATATTTAGGAACGGAGGGAGTATTTTTCATGTATACTGATATTTTAAAGTAGTATAGATCAGCATAGAGATTTATTTATTGTGGGAGACAATGAGTTATAAACATTTTAGAGGTAATTAACAAAATTAAATGTAATTAGTTCCATACTAAAGGAAGACCAAAAGACATTGGGGATATTGTAGGGGATTTATCCGTGCGTTCGGGATGTCCTCCACCCACCGAAAGATTTTGGCTGACCTACGCGCGTTCGATAGTAGCTTTTACATCTCTGCCCGTTGAGAGTCAGTCCCACATCAGAAGAAAATCGTCTCCCCGCCTCGCATATAAGCCTTGACACTATATGGAGATGGTATTCACTAACCTTGTTAATTGAGACATGTATATCATTGCTTGCCGTTTGGAACAATTGTGTGTTTATATGGTTATTTTTGGTAGAGCTGCGTGTTTGCCTTGCCATTTTTGTATCACAAATGTTCTTTAAATTTAAAAATTTCTCCTAATTTGATAACTCGATTTCATTATAATCATTAGATTAACATAAAAATTTAATATTTGATAGAATTTATAGTCAATCTAATAATTGCAGTGAATTAAGATAAATTACAATAGTATTGCTCTTATTTGTATTTTTTTTTTTTGATAATGACAAAAAAAGGCTAGGGGCAAAGAATAGAGGGCGCTCTCGATGGGTCTTTACTGATAGAATTATAAGGCCCCTGACCACGTTCTATGCTAATATAGTGATTAACCACCAAGCCTTAATGTGGAGTCTAATACTCGAACCTTCAACCTTAGGGTAAAAAGTTTGGTCGGTACCCCCAATGGACTATCCCACTCGCTAGTTACTTATTTGTGATTATACTATGTTGTTAGGATTTGAACTTAAAAAAATGACTTCTTTTATTAACCTAATCTACTTTGATCTTTGGATTGACAGTGAGTCCTATTAAACTTTAGAACTTGCTTTTTCATCTAATAATTCTAACGAAATAATATCATCATAATATCAATAAATAAGATTATATTTTTAGCTCCAAATACTTGTCTTGTTAGTTCTATTCTTAGCATGATGTATATTAGGGTATCTCCAACCTGACTCAAATTTAGATTCAAATTTAAATTTGAATAAAAAAAAATCTAAAAAATTTGCTCCAACTCTTGCTCAAACTTATACCAAATTAAGGGAGACTCTTTTTTTACTCAAATTAAGGGAGACTTAAATATTTACCCAAATTTTTAATTGTGAATTTCACTTTCTTTTAAAGATCCAATAATCATCTTTACTCTTATTTAATTTTGGGTTTACCCTCATTTAAATTTAATTTTTTCCTTCTTTAAATTTGAGTTTGTCAATTTAAGTCATTTGTATCAAATCAAACTTTTTACTCAAATACTAATTTAAATTTGAGTAAAAATTTGAGTTATGCTTAGAGATGCTTATATCTTATAATTTGTGTTGGCCAACTGACAAAATTATTTTGATCAAAAGAAAAAACAAATTGGCAAAATTATTGCAATCAAACTTTTAATGCAAACAAAGAGAATACATTTAAATTTTAAACATATTTTACCTTATTTATGTAGTACCGTTGCAAGAGTTTAAGGAGATGTATGCAGCAATTTATGATAATACTAAACTCAAATTTACTAATTTTATACTGAATTTATTGTAAAATTCGTGAATCGTGCCTAAATTAATGAGGAGTATATAGAACTTCTTATTTGTTTAGTGGAAAGTACAGATTTACCCTTTTCAGGAAATCTATATGATTTCTCTGTTGTTACCCAAAAATTGAGGGGAAAAACATAAAACATGGGAAAATATTTATTGCAACAGTAACACTACGTCAATATTGTCACGTGCTTTCACTAATCACTAAAAATTAGATAAATAAGAAAATAAATCCCACATAAATTAATAATTATCTATTCATATAAATCAATAACTTTGCATATTCTCCTTCCATGTAATTTAATAACTATCAGAGTGAAATTAATCTTCCATATTTGATATTTTATTAATTAATAATATTATATAATGATATTAATATAATATTACCATTACATTGAATATTTACTCGTAAAACACACACAATGAAACCCTTTGAGGTTTATTGAAAATACAAAAATCTCCTTCCCACTTTAAAATTATAAAGACGAGACCACCCCTTTATTATTTAAGATCAAATTATAATCGATTTAGTTAAACGTCTAGTTGAATGTTTTCCCTTTCAAACTTATTCCCCACGGATTTTCTCTTCTTGTTCAATAGAATTAGATGTTAACAGTTCTCATATTCAGTTGGGAATCATGAACAAACAAAGACATATTGCGTTAGAAATACCATAAGACTGAAAACAACTAGAAGAATTATAATAGGTTAATAACATTTTTAGTCCTTAAAGGATACCTAATTTATTAGTTTTGTCCTTATTATATGAACTTTATCAATTTAGTCCTTAAAGTTTCAAGTCGTGCCACTTTGGTTCTTAATCAGCCATTTCGTTAAATTTTTTGACAACAGTGATCACATGTCATTCTTTTATACGGTACCACATGATTTTTTTTTCCCCATCAAAACAAGCAAAGTAAGCATTTCATTAAGTAGGAAAGTTGAGATTACAATCAGTCAAGAAGCCATAAAGGAGCGAAGGGGGGAGCCTAACCAATTTAAGGGGAGTGAATTGTTTAACATAGAAGCTGCAACCCAATGAGCAGCCTCGGTGTAGGTTCTAAACTTGTGTAGAAAGCTAAGGTTGTATAATCTATCATAAAGTCTAGTGTCTTCAACAATAGTACTAATTTTCCACGGGGAAACATCTTCATTGAAGCTAAGCTTGATTATATTGAGACAGTCGTTTGTGATAGTGGCATTTGTGATCAGATGGGCTTCAGCAAGGAGGTAAGCTTGTCTCACAGCCTTTACTTTAGAAAAAAAAATACTAGATCTTGCTGGAAAAGATTTAGCACTGCCCAACTCAAGAACACCTCTTTCCTTACATACCACCACTCCACATGCAGCCCTAGCTGAAACAGACTTAAAGGCTCCATCACAGAAGATACGAAAACCAATTTCTGGTGCACTCTTGTGCCTCACCACTGGTGGTTCCCTTTGATCCTTCGAAACTTTAGCATCACCAACTTTGAGCTGATCTTTCCACATAGCTTGTGCGCAAATGACAGTGGCATAGACATTAACCTCTTCCCTATTGAAAATGAACTAATTTCTATCCTTCCAGATTACCCATCCCATGGTAGCCATTTTTCCCAACATATCAAGTTTGCCTTGAGCCTCTTTCACCATCTATAAGAGCATAGAAGATCTTTGGGCCACTGGCATAAAGGATGAATCCTCCCCCTGTATATTGAGGTCCATACCAAACCCAACTCTCTTGGTCCACTCGCACTCAAACAATATTTGCTCAGTAGACGCTAGAGCCATTAAACAAATCTGGCAAAGAGGTGATGGGGCACTCCTCCTCCTAAATAGGTTTTTCCTTGTGGCAAGAATGTTCAGACAAACTTTCCACCAAAAGTGCTTAAGTTTTGGTACCACCTTCATGCTCCAAATGGACAACCACAACTTAGGGTGAGGGGAAAAGGAGGAGATGCCCTCCGATTGCCCCAGGACTGGCTTGTTTCCCGGTCTGTACCCAGACCTGACTGTATAGACCCCATTATTGTTAGGCCATCAAATTCTCTTATCTCTCCCCCCTCTAATTGACAATGAGATAACTTGAATAGCTTTCACCTCCTCCCTTGAAATCACACTGTCCATAATAGAAGTATTTCATCCTTTGGGTTTCTCCTTAATGATATCCGAGACTTTAGTAAAAGAGCAGTATTGGGGCTTAGGAGAATGGATTACCTGGCTTGGTAGGAGGGGAATCCATTTATCCTCACAGAAACATATATCTCTACCATCTCCTACCTGCCACATGAGTCTTTTTTCAAGCAACTCTCTCCCATGAAGTAAATTGCTCCAAACCATGATGGTCTAGTTCCGTGCTTTGCCTTCATCAAGTCCTCATTAGGAAAGTAGATTGCCTTCATAAACTTAGCCCAGAAAGATTCGGGCTAGTGGATCAACCTCCAGCATTGTTTTGCCAGAAGAGCTTGGTTTAGAAGCTTAAAATCCTTGAAACTCATCCCTCCAACAGCCTTAGTCTCTATCATTTTATCTCATTTCCTCCAATAGATTTCCCTTCTGTCCTCACTCCCTTTCCACCAAAAGTTTCTTACATAGTAATTTAATTTATCACAAAAGTTTTTTGGAAAATCCAGCACCGACATGGTGTAGTTTGGAATAACATAGATCACTGCCTTGATCAGCACCTCTTTGCCTGCCTGTGAGAGACAACAGCCTTTCCAACCCTGGAGTTTTTTTGCAACTCTTTCAAGTAGGAATCCGAAGACCTCCTTTTTGGATCTCCCTCAAGCAGTAGGGATTTCCAGATACTTCGCACAATGAGGGAGGGCCATCATCCACATAAGTTGGCAGTAGAAGGTCTTTTGTTCCTCTGTGGTGTTGCTAAAAAAAATAATCCCAGATTTTTGGTAATTTGCACACTGCCTAGACGCCTCACAGTAACTTTGAAGGATCCTCAAGAGCTCCATAACACCCCCCTCTTTTGCTTTGATAAAAAACAAGGAGTCATAAGCGAAAAAGAGATGGGAGATAACAGGGCTCATTCTCTTGATTTTGATCCCCATCAGATTCCTCCCTTCAAATCCTATTTGTAGCATTGCCGAGAGCACATCTGCAATCAGAATGAACAGGCAAGGAGACCATGGGTCTCCTTGCCTAATTCCCCTCTGTGGCTTAACCTCCCCAATTCTCTCCTCATTCAAAACAAACTGAAATGAAACAGTACTTACACACTGCATAATAAGGTGGAACCAACGACTTTCAAAGCCCAACTTGATTAATGTCGCTTCCAGAAAATCTCACTCTACTCTGTCATAGGCCTTGCTAATGTCCATTTTGATTGTCATTTTTGGGATTTTGCCTCTCTTCTTTCCCTTGAGATGATGAAATACTTTGTTTGTAATGACTATGCAATCTTGAATCTGTCTGCTAGGAACAAAGGTAGCCTAGTTTGGGGAGACAATAGTTCCTGTCATTCCCTTCATTCTATTAACCATGAACTTTGAGATGACCTTGTACAAAAAGTTGCACAAAGCAACCGGTCTAAACTGTGTGATGAATTCTGGAGCAACTTCTTTGGGGATGAGGACAACATTAGTAAGGTTCAGCTCCCTGTTTATTTGGCCCTCTTCAAAAAAACTCTTTACCAACTAAAAGACGTCAAGGCCCACAATGTGCCAGAATTTATGAAAGAATATATCTGGGAAACCATAAGGGCCAGGGGCCTTAAGAGCTCCCAAATCTCGCACTACACTCTGCACCTCTGTCTCAGTAATGGCTCTTAATAATTCATGATTCATCTCTACAGTAACCTTCTTTTGTACCATACTCAATGCATCAGACCAATTTCTTTCCCCCATAGTTTTAAACAACTTCTGGAAATAATCTCTAATGTGGGAGTTAATCTCTTCATCCCCTTCAATCCACTCAGTTTCCTCAGTCTTAAGCTTCCGAATCTAGTTACAGTTCCGTCTCTGGATGGTAGTCAGATGAAAAAATCTTTTGTTCTGGTCCCTCTCTTTCAGCCAATTAACTCTGGAGCACTGCAGCCAATATTTTTCTTCTCTGCTTCTGAAGGCATCAATTTGGGAACACAGCTCCGCTTCCTTAATCAGGTTTTCCTCTGATGGCTCCTACATTTGTACATAGGTTAATTCTTTGCCCAATTCCTGGATGATCTTTTTATTGTTTCCAAATTTAAGTTTGCTCCAAGCTAGCAGACGAGCTTTTCATAAATTTAGGTTGGAAAAAGCATTCTGAAAAGCAGAATTTGGATGTCTCGTGCTCCAGTTGCTTTTGACCACCTCTTCACATTTGGGATCTTTCAACCACATACATTCAAACCTGAAGAAGTGAGGGACCTTCTTTGTTTTCAAGCCAAGGTCAATCACAATTGGATAGTGATTTGATCCCATTCTAGCTTCATGGGTCACCTGTGTAGAGGGGGAAGCAATCACTCCAGTTAGGATTAACCAGAACCCTGTCTAGTTGTTCTTGCACGTTGGCTGAACCTAGCCTATCGTTTGACCAAGTGAACCTAGCTAAAACTCAGCTCCATTAGACAATAGTCAAAATTAAATTGTCGTGTTTCCTCAACTCTCCTTATATTACTAACAGAGCCACCTTCTTTATCTTTCAAGGCTCCAATGACGTTAAAGTCCCTAGCAACCAGCCAAGGAGTCTTAGTGGTCCTAGCCAAGGTCTTCAAAATATCCCATGTCTTCCTTCTCAGCATAAACAGGCGTACATTGCCACTCCTTTAAAAGCTGTTGCAAACAAACTCTAGCATTAATCTAAATCTTGTTCATTTCGACCACTCGCAGATTGATCCCATCTCTCCACCACAAAGCCAAATCCACCTGAGAGCCCCTCTGGTTCCACATACTCAAATGTAGGAAAATTCAGCGATCTTCTCAACCGTTCCAACTTATGAGACTTGTTTTTTTGTCTCCGTAAGGAAGACGATTGAGACATGATCATTTAATTAAAAACTTAACGGTTATTTAAATATTAATTAAATATTTTAGAGACCAAATTAACAAACCGTATATATTTTAATAACCAAAAATACTATTAACCCAACTATAAATCAACGTCCAACTGTCACCAACATAATCACATTATTCTAAAAAAATAGGAGATCTGGTGTTACCGTTACACCCAAATTTACTCCCAAAGAGAAAGAGAAAATATTTAATACCGTTACATGCGGTATCAATATTCATAACAATCCAACATATAAACAAATAATCACCCTAGATATTATAGACTTGTTATGAGATGGTGATTTCAGGTGAAAATGGTAATGTAATATCACCCTTACCCCTAATATTTACCCCGAAAATAGGGCCTGAATTTCATTCACTTCACATAGGAGCATCCAAGCAGTTAGCCGTAGCCGCCATGGATGCTTCACATTAAGTCGATGACATCAATGTAATCACCAACTATTTAACAACTGGAACAGCTCTCTTTCTCTTGTTTGTTTCATCAGACAATGACTGATAGCCGAATGATAAACTACAGAGGTTCAGTTATAAGCAAGTTGTAAACTCCCCAGGAAATTAACACGAGTACCAGAGAGGGAGAGAAATGGAAAAGCAAGGAGCACGAAGACGTCGGGTGGTGCTTGTTCTACCTCCATTCCAGGGGCACATAACTCCTATGCTTCAGCTAGGTGCTATCCTTCACTCCAAGGGCTTCACCATCACAGTCGCGCACGCTGAATTCAACGCCCCTGATTCTTCCAAACATCCGGAATTCTTCTTCCTACCGCTCCCGGCCAACTTATCAGACTATGATAACTCCTTCTGGAATCTATTAGAAGTAATCACAGCTATTAATGTCCACTGCAAAGCGCCACTACAGAGATACTTGGTTCAAATGATGGAAAAACCGGAGCCACAAGATCAAGTCTGCTGCATCATCTATGATACAATCATGTACTTCACAGATGCAGTGGCTAACCATCTGAAGCTTCCAAGTATTGTCTTATGCACTACCTGTGCTTCCAATATACTAGCTTGGCATGCCAATCCTCGGCTTCAAGCAGAAGGTTACATTCCCTTGCAAGGTATATCTCTTGGTACTTTCCTGAAGAAACATCTCAAAAATTATACATAGAAGAGAGATTTATGCAGAGAGAGAACCACTAGGAGTTAAAATCCCATAACAAAGAATCCTATTTTACCTAAATTTTATTGATAAATTATTCGATGCTCAGAAAATCGAGGGGAAAATACTTTAAACTTGCTCGTGAATAAAACATCATAAGACTATATACTCAGAGCGACAGGAATTGTTAGTTCCTTTATCTGAGATGCAGCGAAGACAGAGAAGTTTGACAATTTTGCTGCCTGAATATCTTACAAATGAACTTAACTTCTGATGAACAAATTTAGCCCTAGTTTTAGAATGGATGTAGGAGAACTTATGGAATTAAAATGGCTACCAAACAACAAGCAGTAACACACACAAACACAGTAAGTAAATGTGAAAAAAGCTGCAAATGTAACCATCATGAAACTAAACCAAGTTTATGGTGAAGCAATAATGTCTCAAAATGGCCCATAGACTACAATAAGCAATAAGGGATGGCTAAAGGTTCTGAGGTCTTTTAATTCAGCTCTAGTTAAGGAATGAAATTTCTGAAGGTTTATGCAAATTTCCAGCCACCTAGAACAGCAGGTGCTGCTGGTAAATGGAAGGGATAGGCTTTGGAAACAAAGGCCAGCAAGAAGAAGCGAGGAAATAAGGAAGACATCTTACCTGGAAAGCCATAGGAGCTGTTAAAACCGAGAAATCTACAACCAGCTATGCAGAGAAATTTGAACCACCAGCTAAATAAGCTTTTGAAGAGAATGTAGTAGTTAAAGAAGATAAATTGTATAGAAAAGAAGAGAAAGGAAGAGGAGGAGGAGGAGGAGGAGGAGAGAAAGAGAAGATAAGACTCAAGAAAGAGAAGGGGAGAGAGAAGAAAACCTGGCAGCAGCCAATGTCAAACGCTTTCCCAAAAATCTGAACCCTTCGGGGAGTTAGGCTATTTATAAGAGAGGGAACCCTAGATTTCAAAAGATTTGCATAATATCTAATCCACAGAAATATATATTTTGTCATCGACGAAATTGAGTGATTTCTTCTTTCTTCTAATTTTGAAAGTATCGATATATACTATCGAGGACCAGATGTTCTGAATCGATCAATGAAGTTAATTTTTCAAAAACATCACTAGAAAAAAAAATGAAATTTTTTGAAACAGCAGACAAAGAAACCCGTTGTGTTTTTTAGACAAAAAAAAAGATTCCGATTCTGAAGTTAAGAACTCAACAGGATCCCCTTCCTCAAAAGCTTAGGTGTCTCCATCTTTATATAATCTAACTTTCACCTCATTTAAATAGTCATGTGCTAGACATGTGACAATTTAAATGACTTGAAACAAAATGTAGAGATCTCCCACATCAAAAAAAAAAAAAANAAAATAACTAAAAATAAGTAATGAAAAACTGTGATGGTAAAGATAAAAAAAGAAAAACAAATTAAGAATCTCTTGACAATCAGAGAAGAAGAACTAAACAATCCTTAAAGACATCTTTGAAAGCATTTATATGATTAAAAAATAAAATTAAAAAAAACGTAACTGAAAAATAAAATAAAAAAAGTAAATAAAAAATAATTTTAAAAAAAAAAACATAAATTAAAAAATATACAAATAAAAGCATACTTGTCACACTTGATTGATTGAGTCTTTGACATGCATAGTCAATTGCAAGGCTTGGTTAAGAATTAAANAAACTAGAAATGTAAATTATAAGTCCAAAAACTAAGCTAAATCATGAACAGTTTTAATTGCATGGATAAAATGAATTAGAGCAAGCTTCACAAATACAATGAATCACCAAAAATTAATCTATACCAGGATTACTGGATTAGGAACACCTAATTAGTCACAATGTCATTCAAGAAAGACCAGATTAGCAATATACAGTTCCTAAGAATCAAGCTATTTCATTCCAAATTGTTATATCGATCTCTCATACATCATAAGTGCTTGTGCTGCTATTGATTCTGTTCTTTTATGCTAACACAAAATAAGCTAATTTCATATCAAGAACTTCTATTTCTGCCTTTTCCCTTCCGACATAACCTCATTGATAGTTTTGATTATTGAATAAGCTAATCGCATTATCTGGCAAGTGGTATTTCTTATATACACTGTATGACAATGTAGTGTGGCTCCAGGAGCCATTATCTACTCTAAACATTGTTTGATCGCAACATGGTACACAAATAACTGACTATCCATAGAACTAGATAGTTTCTTGAACAAATAATCTTACTCTTGATTAAAAAAAGTCGTTTTTACCATATTTGATCTACTAAACGGTAAAAATGACTGCTGGGCCAGGATAGTATTCCGATTCTAACCTTGGATGAGTTTATTAAGAACATAGTAGTTTAGGCATTGAATTGACAATCAAGCTCTACGGACAAAACTAACAAGCGCTCTCATTGATATTTAAGGAAGACAATAATCTGATAGTCAATAAAATGTCTCTCTTTACTTCTGTGCTTTTGGTATTTAGACAGAACTTAAAACAATAATAACTTTTTTATTTTATATTTTCACTTTCTGAACTTGGAAAGACTAATATGCTAATCATACCTAAATCCAATCTGACCTCAGGTCGTTGAACTTTCTAACTGCAAAACTTGAGGTAACTGGTGGTCCAATGTAGGTACATTTAGGTCATATATCATTTGATTAGACCACTAGACCTTTGCCCGCCTAAGTCCCTGTCCATTGTATCTTATTATAACTGTCATGTATATTCTGATTGTTGATAGCACATGCATGTTTTCGTCTTTATATGAAACCCCATATCACCCATAAGAAGCTAAAGTCATTAGGTTTGAAGAAAGTGTAACTAAATATTGTTTTAATGTTTAATAATACTTACTCACCCTATCTTTATGATCTACAAGTGCATTTACATGAATGGACATGAGATTGAACTAGTTAGCAGTAATGCTGCTTAGTAACACTTTTCCCGAGGAAGGAAGTGTGCATTCTTTGTTGCAGAAATTTTCTTCTCTCTATTTTCCCATACACAATCACAGTTAAAATTATTGAAGATGTGATTACAGAGTCTTTGTCGAATGAGCTAGTGCCCGAGCTTCATCCCCTCAGGTTCAAGGATCTGCCCCTTGATGCATCCTCAGAAGTTGTGATGCAGTTCACTGCAGATTTATGCAATATAAGATCTTCTGCAGCCGTTGTCTGGAACACCATCGAATTCCTTGAGCATTCAGTACTTTCACAGCTCCAACAACAATACCAAATTCCAATCTTCTCAATAGGCCCTCTACACAAAATAACTCCAGCTTCAACCACTAGCTTACTAAAGGAGGACACCAATTGCCTTGCATGGCTTGACAAGCAAGTTCTTAACTCAGTCATATATGTGAGCATGGGCAGCTTAGCAATCATGGATTACAAAGAACTAGTTGAGACAGCTTGGGGACTGGCAAACAGTGACCAGCCCTTCTTGTGGGTTGTGCGGCCAGGCTTGGTTAAGGGCTCAGATCAATGGGTTGAGCTCTTCCCCAAAGGTTTCAAAGAAATAGTCGGAAAAAGAGGTCAAATAGTAACATGGGCACCTCAGAAGGAGGTGCTCGCGCATGATGCAGTGGGAGGGTTTTGGAGCCACTGCGGGTGGAATTCTACCTTAGAAAGTATATGTGAAGGGGTTCCAATGATATGCAGGCCATCTTTTGCAGACCAAAAGGTGAATGCTAGGTACCTCACTCATATCTGGAGGGTTGGCCTTGAAATAGAGGATGTAATGGACAGCGGAGGAATTGAGAGAGCTATAAGGAGACTTATGGTGGAGAAAGAAGGTGAAGAAATGAGGCAAAGAGCAATTGATATGGGCCAACAAATCAAAAGTTGTGTGCAAAAAGGTGGTTCGTCATACAATACCTTGAATGACTTAGAAGAGTTCATCTTGTCACAGTCATCCTGACTGCCAAAAAGACATGGCCACGTCGCTTGAGAGTTGAAGCAAGAGCATCAAATAATCTTATAACGACTATTTTATGTGCTTTATGTGTTTAGACGCTCTTTACGTCTTATACCATTATTAAGCAAGAATACCCTGTTTCAAATTCCCGCAGCAAAGCATGCTAGGTACTACCACGTACCATTTGTTTGTAATAACTTCTGATACTTTGTTGAAGAGTACTTAAAAGCCCATGTAGATATTACTTTGCAAATAATTAGAACTCCAAGAATATCTAGAAGACTTGTAGGAACTCGTTCAACATGAGTGATTTTCAGTAGTAACTTCCATTTAAATTTCTTCTAAACCTTAGAACTCCCTGTTTTATGACATATTACCATCCCAATATAATCTATTCCAAATATATATGCCCTGGTTCCTTACTTCTACAGGTGCAAAATATCTAAATTTGATATTTTTAGATATTTTTCAGACCTATGCCAATGCTTGATTTCATGGAGGTATGGATGAGAATGCAATTCATAATGTGGTTGAACAATAGGCAAATGCCTTGTGGCAAAATTCAGATTTTAGATCAGAAAGAGATGAATTCATTTTCAAAAAAGTACATTGTCCAAATAAAACGGCTCTGTTGTTCTCACCTCACCTAAAATTTTGTAGCATCAGTGTAGGGAAATCTTGAAAGTCCAACCAAAACAAAACCAAATCAAGCATTACGTCATAAGTATTTGGGATTGGCTATAAGAGTCTGTCTTCGTCATTCATTTCGGTTATGCGCTATACGTTCATTTAAGTTTAAGTATTTTTATATATTTTTTTATTATTTCGTTCAATGTTAATTTAGGTCTATCCCTACTCCTAATATCATTAAAAGAAATTATATCACTTTTTCTAACCGATGCCTCTATCGGCTTCCGTTAAACATGACCAAACCATCTTAATTTATTCTCGCTTAACTTATCTTCAATTGGAGCTACTTCTACTATTTCTCTAATACAGTCATTTCATATCTAGTTTTTTCACATATCCACTTTAACATTCTCATTTCTATTGCACTCATTTTGTCACTATGTTATTTTCTAATTGCTCAACATTTCGTCTCATACAATATTGTTGTCATTATAGTCGTTTGGTAAAACTTATCTTTCAATTTTATTAATATTCTTCTATCACATAATATACCAAAGGTTTTCTTCCACTTAAGTCAACCAGCGTTGATTCTATGAGTTACATCGTCTCCAATCTCTCCATCATTTTTAATAATCGATCATAGATATTTAAATTATTTCCTCGTTGGTATTTCTTGATTTTCAGTCTTAACTTTTTCACTATGTCTACTTCTTCTTTTACTAAAATTACATTCCATGTATTCAGCCTTAATCCTATTAATTTTAAACCCTTTTGACTCGAGGTTATAGATCCAAATATTTAGTTTATTGTTAATCCCTTTTGAGTTTCATCTACTAAGACAATATCTCCAGCATACCCCGTGGGACATCATTTTGAATGTACCTAGTGAGTTCATCCACAACTATGGCGAATAAGAATGGGCTTAGGGCTAATCCATGATATAATCCAACTTGATTGAAAATTCTTTACTTTCTTGCACAGAAAAAAGAAATCAAAATTGGAAGAAACAAAATCATTTGTCATTACATCAAACACATTACATTATATGGAATTATCCAAAGAATCACATAATAAATACGTTTTAAAACATATCCATAAAATTTCTTACCAGAAATCTCAATGGACTAGAAATCAGAGTGCTTCATTTCTTCATTGGGAACAGTAATTGTGACGTTTTCGCCCTCCATGGATGCCTTGACCTGATCTACCCTGGCATTCTCCGGCAGCCTAAAACTCCTCCTGAACTATCCGCTACTACACTTTCTCTGCTTCTCTCTCCGCTAATCCGTAGAACCCTATGTATCTCCTCCGATTTCGACATTCATTTCTTCTTTCTTGATCCCGGGAACGTCATCCTTGAACACGTGAGCTTCCGGAGTCTCCTTCTGGTCCACTCGAGCAATAACAAACGGAGACCCCTCTCCTGCAGATTCAAGAAAAGAAGAAGGGAATGCGAAGAAGTTCTTCAATTTCGCTTCGTCGGCCATCCAAAAAGCGTCGAACCAACGACATCTTCGATTTGCTTGTGGAATTGAAAGAAAATTTGAGTGTGGTGTTTCAGAGATTGGTGAGCCTCATCGAATGCTATGTTGGGATGGGATGAGTTGTTGGGTATTTTTGAAGTTACAAAGGTTGATGCCCAGTACTATCGGTAAGAATCATGAGCCTCTAATTTGGGTCAGTAGTCAAAACGAGCAGTCTCGAATACTCGGGCACTAATGACCACAGGGGCCGATCCAATTAATTTTATGGGCTTCAACGGCCCAGTGTAGGCAAGGTAATGCCATCTTCAACTTTAAACTCAAAGTTTTACTCTAATTTAGGCTAATATTTGAGTGACAGCCACATCCAGAATAAGTTCTGGATATTTTGGAATGAATTATTGAGTAATATTTAAAAATAATTATAGAGTCTTTTTGTTATTAAACAAAAAAAATGATTATTGTAAAATAAATCACGAAAATTATTCTATGTGCATATAAATAATTGGGGACACAACTTCAAATTGTACACGTAGTTTGATTTTTACAAAAAGGACCTAAATTCGTAAGTTTAGAGTTCTTAATTGTATCAAGACTACCAATTTCTTGTTTAATTCTAGAGAAGTAAAATTGCAATATGCACTGGGATTTTGCATTGGGGCTCTAGCATTGACTTTTCAAACACCTTAAAATTAGTGATCTTGCTCAAAAAAATAGTTTAGACCAATAAAAATATATTACTTATGCCTTTGATAATAATATTGTGTTTTCTATTATAGAAAAATTATTTTTTAGCGCTGAAGACTGTGAAAATTGAACTACATAACTAAATAAGTGATCGATGAATGATTGAGAACTTGAATGCATATATAGAGAAACATATTTTTTATTAAAGTTGAAAATGAAATTATCATGTAATGCTTTTAATATATGAAAATTTGTCCAGATCAATTACAAATAGTTGTAATTAGTCATTTTTCTGTAAAAGATTATAATTAGTCTCTTTTTATTGGTTTTGCATGCATAGATTATATATATATATATATACTAGTCATAACCCGTGCCTGAAGGTACGATAAAACAAAAAATTCGAGTCCTAAAAAATTGATATCACTATATTAAATAATAATTTTTCTTTCCTTTATTTATTTGATTAAATCATTCATAATTTATTTTTACCCATTATTTTATAAAAGATATTTATAAAATTTTCTCAAAATATGTAATTCGATAAATTTTTTTAACAGATCTATACTATCGTGTATGAATAATATCTGAAATAAAAATTATGTTATATTATAAATTAATCAAATATTAAATAATTGAATATGTGATAGAAATGAGTTATATGATGGTTTTGGAGGAAAAAAAATGTATAGGGGATAAAATTCAACTTCCTATGTGTTTTATTATATAGATTTTTGTATAGATATAAGGGAAAATTTCATCCAAACCTCCTTTAGTTAAGTTTAAATTTAATGACACCTCCTTCTGATTTTGAAATTTCACTGTCACTCCCTGTTAGTGATTGTTAGGTTACACCGTTAATGACAATGATTGATTTATAGAAATATCCCTCAGTATTTTATAGAGTAAATTTTATTCATTCCTCTTATAAATAGACCTAGATTTAACAACACCCTCTCTTGATTCTGAAATTTCAATGCACTCATTTTCAGTTATATTATATTAGCCTTTATTTTAATCAATTTAATATTCAATTTTATCAAATTAAATTTTTTTATTTAATTTAAACTAAGTTAACATTTCATCTCATCAAATCAACACAAAATTGATATTTAATTTTATCAAATTAGCATTTAGTTATATTAATTTAATATTTCATTTCATCAAATTAATATTATTTCTTTAATTTAATATTAAGTTATTATTTATTTTTATCAAATCAACATCAAATTGACATTCAATTTTATTAAATTAAACTATTTAATTTATTAAATAAAATATTAAATTTCATTAATTTAAAATTTAACTTTATCAAATTAATGTCATTTCTTTAATTTAACACCAAATGAACATTTAATTTTATTAAGAAAATATTCAAATTTATTCAATTAACATTAAATTCAATCAAATTAATATTTAAATTTATCAAAATTAAGATCAAATTTATTCAATTAATATTAAATTTTATATATGAAGTATGATGTGTGAGGAGCGGTCGGGCGACGTTGTAGCGGATATATGATAGCAATGGAAATAGAAATGGATGAGATTTTGACATTGACTTTATCGATTGTAATTTTTATTATAAAAAAATTATTTTTAACTATAAAAATTATTATGATTAAAAAATATAAAAATTATAAAAACTTGATTATGTAACCAAATGAGTTATAATATGATGACTAATATTATAACAAAGTTATAATACAACGTTTTAAAATAAAAAATTTATTGGAATAATATAATTATTGAAATAACATTTGTTGGCTAACTAGCGCATATATAATGGAGAAAGAATTAACGACATTTTAGTCTATTCACATAATAAAGGGTAATTTTAGTATTTTTATAAAATATTTAGTTAAATCATTATTTTATCTATTAATAGAGACAAAAGTTATTGTTACAGGAGTTGTCATTGAATTTAGACTCAACTACATGGTGTTTAGATGAAACTTTCCCTAGATATTACATGTAGATATAATATGTCTTCTATCTTTGTACTATATATATGTACATTAAAGATGTGTATGTGATATGAACAGTAAAGATGAAGAGCAACTGCATTAGGATAGAATTTTGGGGCGACATGTGTCTCAGTTTGGAAAGAGAATCATGAAAGATAAGAGTGTGAGAGACAATCAATGTCTTAGTATAGAAAATGATCCCTTAACATAGGAAATAAAATCAGGAAAATAATGATAA